GTGTGTGTGTGTGTGTGTGTGTCTGCAGGTGGCCAATCAAAGTATTTTCAAATTACAGGATTAATTTCAAGCGCGGTGATTTATACTCAAAATTATGGGTCATTTATCTGTTCTTCTATTGCATTGATGGCTCACATCTACGTATGCTATTAACACATCTAAGATGGTATCTGTAGCTGTCGACAACCACACACTAAAGGCTCTGACGATCAATTGACATAGCACCAGGATATAAACATTGAACATATTTTAACATATACCGTTCACCAGAGTATAAACGTTTATCATATTTTCACATATACCGTTCACCAGGATATGAACATTTAACATATTTTAACATATACTGTTCACAAGGATATGAACATTTAACTTATTTTAACATATACCCTTCACCAGGATATGAACATTTAACATATTTTAGCATATACCGTTCACCAGGATATAAACATTTAACATATTTTAACATATACCGCTCACCAGGCTATCGACGTTTAACATTTAACATATTTTATCCTACATCGCTTTCCCCTGCTATCTTGATATGCATACAGGCACTTCATCACATATCTATATATTTAGAAAGACCTGCCTAGTTGCCATGGGGATCTTAATAAACTAAACTGTACTCTACCTACACGCACAGATACGTCGAATGGACCGGAAAGTGTGGTCTCTGAACATCACGACATACGACGCCAAAGACGATCGCTTTGTCGACATACCCAGTGCTAGGTGTGGGTGTACCATTTGTTTGTGTGTGTATAATATCCGACTCTTATTGACTGGAGGTGTGTGTGTACCATCTGTTTGTGTGTATATAGTATCTCACTCCTATTAACTGGAGGTGTGTGTGTTCCATCTGTTTGTGTATATATAATATCCCACTCTTATTAACTGGAGGTGTGTGTGTACCATCTGTTTGTGTATATATAATATCCTACTCTTATTAACTGGAGGTGTGTGGGTACCATCTGTTTGTGTGTATATAATATCCCACTCTTATTAACTGGGGGTGTTTACACACCATCTGTTTGTGTATATATAATATCCCACTCTTATTAACTGGAGGTGCGTGTGTACCATCCATTTGTGACCTTACTCTTATTATCGGTAATAAGGGCTGAGGCCCATTCCGTAGCACGATATCCTAATGTCTCATAGTGTTTCAACTTGATTTGTATTCACTCTATAGTAAAACCCTAAAGCCTCTAACCCTAAAACCCTAACTTTCGATCGCTCTTCCAGTCCGATCAAGGTCATTATAGAAGACACTTACATCTTCAATATGCAATTCGGGCATCGATACTACATCTACCTCCGAGGTATGTGCACTCGTTTATCATTTTCTGCATACAATAAATATTCCATAAATATTCCCACAC